TCATTCTGGTCTTCTTCGATACTCTACTTCACAGCAGCGATAGCAATAGTGTGCTCTGAGTAAACGTGATGCAAAACCAAACTATTGTCGGTTGAATTACCGACTCTGCTAGGCGACTATGTCGATCCAATATTAGACACAGCTCGTGCAGTATTCACCTTTTAACGGCATTTCAAACTCCCTATGTACCGTTGCTACGGAAGCAATTGGTTTTCGACAGCTCCATGGAATGGGCTGGTGCGATGGGACGTGTTGAACCCAGCAGGTCGATTGCAACGTGGCAAGGTAGGCAGCTCGCTATCTTTTCACTGCGACCAAGGTGTTTTTTCAACCTTTCGAACCTGAAATTCATAAAACAGGTGAGCAAGTCGTGTAGAAAACCGTTTGACTGTTTGTTGACAGACGTACTTAGCTACACACAGGCGGGTGGAAATCTTCGCCGTGACAAGACAGTTATCCAAGACGGTGTTTGGTACACGAGGCGTCAAGAAAAAATTGCGCCCGCTTTTACAACAAAACACAATAAAATTAACTTTTTTGTGCTGAAAGATAGTACCACTGACAATTATTATATGTTGGGACCCCGCGAATGTTGTAGTTGAACTACAATACATACCATGTACAATTTACTAAAGCTCATGCCGTGCTAAGGCATGACTGTCGTAAGAGCCATGATAGTCGGGTCTTTATACCCGAACGACCGGAATTCGGCGAGTGTTTCGTGGTTATAACAACAACAACAGTACAGTTTAACTACTTTCACGACAACCGGTTCTGTCCATACCGACACTTACTAGAACTCGAACCACCACCTAGGCAAAACAGAAAGATAGCTCTCGACTTTAAGTACCGCAATCAGTGCCAGCTACAACAACCGCTGGATAGTATGACTTACCAAAAGACATATAACACCATTCAACGAGATTCCGTCTGCACTTTTCTTAAATCTGAATGATTTTCTCGAAGACGAGCCACCACCTATTGCAGACGCAGAGCTGGAGCTGCTCGCGTAATACTGAGCCCGACTCACCAAACATACATATGCCCTGCATGCATGCACGACGCTAAACGTCTCTTCGTATGTCGCCTAAAACCAGCTCATCTAACCACGCTTTCCCTCTTTTCCGGACTCTCTGGTCGAAACAGCTGATCTCCTGGACCCCGTTTAATGACTTCGGTGACTAACGTCAAATATTGCCTGCACCTAAGCGGAGTTAGAGAACCGCTGCGACAACAACAACACTGCTTAACCATCAATCCTAACTCCATTTAGTTCATAAAACTAATGAGACTTTTGCGGGGGTTGACGGAGGGAGAATATCATGAAAGAGTTACAGTAGTAAGTGAACTGGCAAAAATTTGAAGAGAAATTAAAATAAAACTCAAATCTAAGTTTTTCATATTTTTATTGCATTTTTTATAGATTTTTTACGTTTTTTTACACTTTTAGGTTTTTAACATTTTTTTGAGTAGTTTTTGAGTTAGGTTTTTTTTTGTTTACTGAATTAAGCCTTTAAAAGAATTTGTATTTTTTTTTGTTGTTTCTCGTTTAAATTAATTTATAATTAGAACTATCACTTTTAGGTAAACTTACATACAATAATAATATTAAAAAATATAGCTAAATATAGTATACATATATATATATAGTATATGTATGTATATGAATATAGTACAACATAAGAAGTTTATAAGTTTCCATATTTAAACGCAAATAATTAGGATTACAAAGTATATATATATATATATGTATATATGTATATATATGTTTTATAAGGTTAATAATAATAATAATATAAACAATGAAAGGGAACAAAATTGAATATAAAAAAATACCCTTCAACTGAAATTCAAATGGTGTGTGGGTGTGTGTGCATGTATCTACATACATGTGTGTATCTTTGCTCGTGTTTTTTGGTTAAATAAATTTTTTTAAGGGTTTTTCTAGTTCAAAAAAATATTAAATTGTGTTTTTGTTAGATGTACATACATACATATGCATAATATAATTATGTGCGATTTTTTATTAATGCTCTAATTATATATATATATATGTATATTATATGCATTCATGTTTAAGCCAAATGTGCCTGAATTCCAACTGATTGCCTTTGTGTGCGTGCGTGTGACGACGGGCAGCTAAAAGACCGAGGCAACAAATGCTGCGCAACGTCACAACTTTGCAACAAAAACAAGCGTCAAACTTGGCAGTTCATAAGGACTTATATTTGCACATTTTAGTTTATATTTACATACGTATTTTTTTGTTTATTAATAATTATCATTTATTTATCTCTCATGTTAATATTAATAAATGTATATTTCTCATTTTGTTATATTTGTTTATATGTAACTGTCTCTGTTTATGTTTGTCGACTTCATTTCTCAAAATTCCATTTGCAAACTTAATAAATTGCAGCAATAATTGTTAATATCTGTTCTCTCTGTTTGTTTCTCACTTCATTTCATAGTATGCTCAATTAAACTATTTACAAAAAAGAAAAAAGAAAGAAAAATATTTTTTTGTTTTACCGAAATAGCAATTAATCTAAAACCGTAATAAATTTGTTTATAATTTAAGTATTTAAAATAGAAAAAAAACGATAATTGCAATTTACAACACTATTCCTTTATATACACAAAAAGTGATTGTTTTTCGTTAAAGTACAAACATATTGCAAATATTATGTGGTTTGTTGCAAACTATTGTATAATTAAAAACATGCCATTTCATTTGTTTTCAACGAAAGGCGATTGCTTTCTTCTTGTGGCGCAAAGAGAAATTTACAAATTCATTTACTTTTGTTTGCATATTTTCGTGATACTTTAGATCTTGGTTTATTTTGCACATTTATATGTATACTATATATATATATATGTATATGCATATATTGGTAGATATTAGATATTTTTTTGCTTTTCGTTATTTCATTTCTACTTAGTTGTTTTTGCACTTAAACTCATACATATATATAAAAAAAAGTTAGTATTCATTTATATTTACTTGATAAATTATTTCTTGTTTTTGTTTTTAAGCGTTAAATAGTGTAAAATACACATTTCCACTGCACACATCAATTGAATATGTATTTGTGTTTTTCATTCGTTTTTGGTTTTCTAGTTTTTAACAGCTTCTTTCGAAATCGGTTGCATTAAATATTACAAAATTCAAGTTCTTTTATTATTAGTTTTTAAATCATAAAATTGACTTATATGTTCTGTTTTTATTTTATTTTTTTTTTATAATTTTTAAATAATTTTTTTTTTCATTTTTAAATAATTAATTTCTTTTTTCAATCAAAATCAAAGGAAAACTTATCATTAATTAAACGTATGTATGTATATAAATCGAAATCGCTTACACAACTAATTAATAGAAAAAGAAAAAAAAATATATGAAAACATTTTAAAGATTTAAAACAATGAATTGCAATCATGCACTTTGTATACCGTTAATGGGAAAGTAAGTGAGGTAAAAAATAAACGGTAATTTGAATTAATTGCAATAATGTGTGGATTTTTGTTACAACTTTCGCAACAACAACAACTATACATACACAGACAGTGTACATAAGGAATTTGCAAATTACGTAGAGGAAGAGCGTTTAGCGCCACAGTGACATTTGCATACATATAAATGTACATAAGAATGTGTCACAAAAGGGCTTATGCCCCAACTGCATACGCTTTGCAGGTAGTAGTAAGTGGCAGTGTACTGGATGCGTATTTGTGCGTACGTGTGTGTGTATTTATATATTTAATTAGTGTTAACAAACCAATTTAGAAAATCTATTTCATTATTTAAAATATTTAAGAAAATATTAAAAAAAAAATATTTAAAAAATAAATATTAAAAAAAAATTATCAAAAAAAATATTTAAAAAAAAAATATTAAAAAAAAAAATATTAAAAATAAATATCAAAAAAAAATATTAAAAAAAAATAAAAAAAATTTTTTTAAATATTTAAAAAAGTATTAATAAAAAAAATATTTACAAGAAAAATGAAAAATTAGAAAAAGTTACATAAAGCACACACTACCTTTGGAAATTGTACTGTATTTCTTTATGGAGTTTGAGGTGGTTAACACCTGCCTTACAAATTTTGCTGATTTTTACTTGTATACATGCGTATTTGTATGAGGAGCAGCGCTTAGCCACAAACAAATTCCTTGATAAATTGTTGCTGTTAAATTTGTTCCCAACTTTTTTTTTACATTTAGGAAAAACTCGCCGCATTTACTTTATAAGGCAAAAGTTAAAAACCTAACTTTCGCAGTTGCAGCCAATTTCGAGTACAACAATGTAGTTAATATTATTATTATTGAATAACATCGCTGTTATGCACATTTAAAGTTTAGAGTTTGGAGAATTGGTAAATGCTTCAATGCTTATGACACACTGTCTTTTACAGTTATTTTTCCTGCTTAGAAATTTTTCATTTCCGTTTTAATAAAGAAAAAAAAATGTGCCTACAAACGTACAAGAACCTGTTGTTTTTTGTTTTTTTTTTCTTGCGTCTTAACGCTTACAAAGTGTTTAGTTTTCCATATATGTATGTTAATATATTTATAATGTATTCATATAATTCTATATTCAAATTTACCATACAAATATTTGTTTTAGTTATTGTTTGCTTTTGTTGTTCTTTTTAAAACTTTTGAACTACTAATTATACATACCAATTGCTATGTAATAAATCTCTACTTGATAGCATATGTATATGTATATATAAATAATGATTTTAGCACATATTTCAATTGCATATATGTATTTGTTATAACATAGTTGTATATAATACACAAGTATATAAATTTTTATGGCTTAGAGTTCTGCAACTGTTCATTTGTATGCTTTCTTTTGTCATATTTTGCTTGAATATTTTTCTTAGTTTTTTGTTGACACATAATTGTTGTCTATATGTAATTGAATAATTCAAATATATATATTTTTTTTGAACTCTTAGCATAAATATTTATTATTTTATATTATGCGTTAATGAAAATTGGTTTTTCTCTTTATGTTTTCTTCTTCTTTTTTCTTTAAATAACTTAGCTATTTGCCTTTCCCATTTACTCTATGCCTTAGTGATTCCCTACTACTTCATATATGTAAGCGATTCCATTGATTTTAATATTTGATGAGAAATTTGTTTAATAGCACAATAAGCAATGCTACTTTCTGCACGGATTTTACTTATTATTCTTCACTGCGTACAACTAACTGGTGTCGTCGTATTGTTGGTTGGCACTGTTCTGTGTCTTCTTATATCTTCTGCTTATGCATAGTTTTTTTTTTTCTTGTTACTTACAATAAAATGTGTTTACCCAAAAGTTGTAGTCCAGTTCAACATGTTTTTTTGTTTGTTTTTGTTTAGCTCTTAAACGGCTAGATATCGTGGTTATTTTATAAGTGTTTCAATGGTCGTGAAAATGCTGGAATTTCTCTTCGTTAAAACGTTGCTTTCATTATTGCTCTCAAAGTAAACAAAACGCTCATTGACGTCAGCAATGAAAAGCAGTTTTATGTATGTTATGTTTGCTCGTCGCACTCACTTCGTATTCGTTTTGTTGCTAGTATAGCTCTGGCCCGTAAATACCTATACTCTCCTCCCCCTGTTTTTTTTAACAAATATTGCAAATTAACCTCACTTCCTTTTGATTGCTTTTATAGTAGAAATATGAATGCATAATATAGTTTGTTTGTTGTTTGTTTTTTTTTTTCGTTTCATACAAAAGTCACTTTAGCAAATATATTTCTTTAAACTTCTATGTTCGTTTTTTTTTTTTTGGAGTTTTATGTAAATATATATATTTATATGTATGGGTGTGTGTATAGTCGTAAATTGGCGACGTTTTTAAAGGTCGTCCATGAAATTAGGTTTACAATTAATAGTTAACATGTATGACATTATATATGTATATGTTTTGGATAAAGTGTTTAGCCTGATTTTGAGCATTTTCATAATTTGATTCATTCACAAAATTTCAGGTATTGGTTTTGTTTGAATTTTTTCCATGTATCTATTAAGAAAGCCAAAGAGCAAAAGCCAATTAAAACGCGCCTGTCTAAAAGCAGACTACCACTGTCTTTTTACTTTCGCTTTTTGAATTGAATGGATAGTTTTGGATACATTGTTTTTATTTATTTTTTCACTTCTCCACAATACTTTTCGTTTTTATTTGGTTTTATATGCTTGTATAAATGTACGTGCGCGCTTGCGTTCATTTATATTCGATGAACGTACACCGCTGCGCTGCTAATTTGCCGATTTATATTCATGAAAATACTCAAAAACTTATGCAAAGAAGAAAAGAATAGGATAAAATAAGATAAACTAACAATAGCAAATATGTAAGTATTTTTTTTTTTAAATAATCAAAGAAAATTATGAAAATAAACAATTATTTTTTCTCCGCTGACGTGGAATTCGTGCCCGCCGTTACGGTTGCCGCTTTGTTGGCTGCGACCTTTGTTATTGTTGCTGCATTGCTGTTGACATTTGACTTAGTGATTGCTGTTTTATTGGCCGCTGCCGCCGCATAGTTCTGATGTTCCTTTAGTTTTGTCGCTGTGGTGGCGCCTGCTACAGCAGTATTTGTGGCGGCCGGCGCATTATTGGAATCCTTGTTATTTTGTACTGCTGCAGTTTGTTGTTGTTGCTGTTGTTTAGCTGGCTTTTGTGCATGATGTTGTTGCTGTTGTTGTTGATGATGCTGCTGCTGCTGCTGTTGGCGATTTTGTTGCTTGTGCGGTGCCAAACCAGAGGTGCTGCCGCCACGACGCAGCTCATGCGGTGAACTAGCATACGGATGTTGATAGTTATTGTTGCGTGACACTACTTGCGGCTTATTGCCCAATGAACCACTGCGTACGCGCACTGTACCGCTACCAAATGAGCCGGTGCGACGTCGGTTGCTACTGAAATTCGCATAGTTGCCAGACTGTTGATTATTGAATTGCTGTTGGTGTTGGCGTTGTGGTTGTTGTTGCTGTTGGTGGTGGTGGTGGTTGTGCTGTTGTTGATAATGTGGTCGATTGCCCACATAATCACTGCGATTACTGATAGTTGTGTTCGGCCTACGGCCAACGCCAGCAACAACAGCTGTACCATCGCTCTCGGAAACACTGCGTAGGCGATTTAAATTACGGCCGCGATTTAAACTGCCGACACCCTGCAGCATCTCGTTGATCTCAGGTTCGACAACGCGGAAGTCTTCTATAGTTTTGAATTTCTCTAAGTATTCAGCCAATTTCGGCTTCACTGTCAATTTGTCTGCGTTTTTGTAGTATTTAAGGAATGCCCAGAATTTCTCAAGACCGTATAATTGACCTGTAGCGTGAAATATATATATATATATATATTTATATGGGTAATCTAAATAATTAGCTAAGCTAAGAAAACTAAAATTTTACTACTCACCGATTTCATAGTCAGCAATTGTCTCATCCTGGAAGTCCTCATATACATTTGGTCGGAATTTTTTCTCTAATCCATACGAAAAGAAGCGGAAAAGACATTCCAGGCCATAACGGAAGCCGTGCTTGGCATCCTCTAACGCATACTTGCGGAATTCATTGTACATTGTCTTGTTGAAATTTTCACGCAGGAAGAATGACCAGAAGCGATACAATGTGTTCATCTCCTGTGATTGACCGTAGCCCAAGCGACGCCGCTCTTTGAGGCAACGCGCATGATATTTGCTATAGGCTTGTTGTGTAAAGTTGTTCTCCTTTAATAGCGAGTGTGAGGGATGTTGGAAGACTGGCAACGATTGTGGCACAGATGAGCCGTAAGATGAAGTTGTTGGCGAAGTGCCCGCAGAGGAGCCCATCGAAGTGGTACGTGGCCGATGTTCGACTGTGTCGAGCAACCAACCGACGTGCGCCTCGACTGGTGGGTTCGATGAGTGGCGGGTCTTACGTTTACGGGGCGTACGTGGATCGATCGAATGTGAGCTGGGTGCAGCATAGAAGCGTGCACGACGCGATTTCAATGTTGAGTTTAGTGTACTGTTCAGTGTGCAATCCTCATCCACATACGCGGGAGGCGGCGGTGGCGGTGCTTGTTGTGCATAATTGCGTTGCACACGACCGCCACCCAACTTTTCGAAATCTTCTTGAGATATTACATTTACAGTACGATATGCCGTGCCCACATTCGATGTTGTCCAGAGATCTTCTTCATAGTTAGCCAAACCATCATTAATAACATTTTCGAGATCTTGTGTGATTTTCGTACGTGAAGTGAAATCGGCAGTACGATCGTAGCCTTCATGTTTGGGTGCCCGTTGTACTTGTGCCACAATTAAGAGTTTATTTATATCACGATCTGCAAATTCGTAGTCGGATTCGTCGTCATCGGAGAAATTTTCGGTGAAATTATTTATACGTCCAGTTGCTGGGATGGGATCCATGAGTTCTTCGTCGAATTGAAAATCTAATTCTTCTTTTTCAACGGCGTTTGTTTGGTGGAGGTTAACTGGCGCTGCTGACGTTATAGTTGGCTGGTTGGATTGGGGAGAAGCTGTTTTGTTGTTATTGTTATTGTTGTTGTTGTTGTTGATGATGGTAGTGGTGGTGGTAGTGGCGTTCGTGGTATTGGAGGTGTTAGTTACATTGGTGACATTCGATGTGACGGAGGCATTCGATGAGGTGGGCAATGTGGTTGTAACCGTGTTTGATTTTGTAACATTTTTATTATTGTTGTTTGTCGTTGGCGTAGTTTTTGTTGCAGAGGTAGCATTTGTTGTTGTGGTTTGAATGGTTTGATTTTGTTGTTGTTGTTGTTGTTGTGTTGCAAGCGTTTGTGTCGAGTGTAGTTGATTGGGAGATTTAGTATCTTTTAAAGCATTTGATTTTGAGCGTCTCTTTACCTCTTTCCACGTGCCCTCCGCAGCATCGGCCTGCGGCTCATTGCCCGTTGTCGCCGTGTTGCCATTGTTGACATTGTTTACAATGTGACCCGCCGCCTTCGCACCATACTTTTTGTTGTCGCGTTGTGCTTTGAGCGGTGTCGATGACGATTGCGGTTGACTTGGTTTCTTAACACTCTGAGCCAGACCACTCAGATGGTCCGCTAGCTGGGCCACAGCTTCACTGCCACTCTCCACTTCAGCCACTTTCTGTGTGAGCGCACTTATCGCATTCTCAGCATTTACAGCTGTCGTCGTCATTGGTTTCGCCTGCTGCTGTAGCAGCGATGAGACCAAATTTTGTGAATTGCGTGGCACTGGCGGTGGTGGGATATTAGTTAAAGGTTGCGCAGCCATAGGCGAGGCAAGTAAGAGCACTTCGCTTCCGTACGGTATTGTAACTGCATTTGGCGCATTCAGCATGGCAGTTACATTTGTTGTTGGCATTTTATTGTCATCGGCCGTTATAGTTTGGAACTGTGCTGTGCTATCGCCATGATCACCGCTGCTTACGAGGCCAGACGCAACAGCATGATCAGCACCAGCAATGTTCGCATTTTGTTGAATTTCTGGTTGGGTAGTAGTTTTTTGTAAATCATTGTTTACATTCTCGGGTATTTTACCGTCCGCAATGTTCACTCCTACACTTAAAATTGGCGCCTGAGCGGCAGGTATAAATGTAGTCTCGATCACATCGCGAATAGGCCAAATTGTAGGATTGATCTTTGTGCGTACTTTAAAGCCCTCGAGAAACTCCAGCTTCTCAGACTCCTTGATGGCGTTAATAATCAATGCCACATCAGTAGTCAAGGCTAAGACGCGATGAAAAGAAGCAATCAATGTGACTGGAATACAACCTTCTGGGTCCATTTTGCGACGCAAAAAGAAATCGCCAGTTAAATTCTCTTCGCTGAAATAGTATTCACTGCAAAGATAAAAGTTGCACAGAAAAGATGCGAAATGTTGGTTAGTAAAAACATTAATAATAATAATAATAACAATAGGATCTTTAACTTTTTAACATTCTTCTCTTTTAATATACATATATAATACAATACTTACACTTGTTTCTTTATCGCCTCTTTAACCGTTTGTGCGTCCATTTCAATATAGGCTGCGGGTGGCACTTGACCATAGTAATGTGTGCCCATGAGCACAAACGAAGACTGTTCGACACCGGCTGCATCCGCCGGCAAAAAGCTTGAGTATTCGCCACTGGCTAACAGATGGCGTGGTATGCGATTTGACGTACGACCTGGTCCCGGTCTTGTGAATCCACCGCGCCCCTGCCGCCCGCCCCGGTAGGACGTCCGGTAGCGCCGTTGCGTACGCGCTGGTCGCTCGTAGTCCCGGTCGGCGACGCTGCCGCCACCGATTGCACCACTGCGCTCGGTGCCGCTGCCGCTACGCCAGGAATCAATACGCTCAGTATGGCGGGAAGTGGGCCGCGTGGGACGATCGCGCGTTGCTGGTGCTGCTTCGCCACCGGCACTTGGTGGTGCATGTTGTCGCCAATCACTACGCTGCTGCTGTTCTGCTGCTCCGCCGCCATTGTTGTGGTCATCACCGCCGCTTGAACGTTGTTCTTGGCTATTGTATTGTTGTTGCTGATGCTGCTGTTGTTGTTGGTGATAGCGAGACGAAGAGCTTGGTAAGCGTCTATTGGGACGTCCAATCGGTTTCGGGCGGCTTGATTTGGCAAGGTCGATTTGCAGAGGACGCCACTTGTGTTTGGGAATCTTCTTATGGATGCCATTTGATCCTGAACCAGAGCCTGAGTTGTTGGCTGCGGCATTTGCGGTAGCAGATCCACTACTGCCTTCACCGCTGCCTGATTGCGTGCCAGATTTATTGGACTCATTAGTTTGTGCTTGACTGGTTGAGGGTTTATCGCCTGTATTGACAGCACTTTTGGTTGTTGCTGTGGCAGCTTGATCGGTATTATTTGATACTGATGCTACGCCGGCGCTAGGGTGATTTTCTTTATTATTACTATTATTAGCGTTATTTGAACGCTGTCTGTGTTTCGTTGAACGTTTAGATTCGTTATTTGTGGGCTTGCCACCAATTAGCATAGGCCAATCACCAACGTTGCTGAAATCGCTGGCCTGTGGGGTAAGAGAAATAGAATTTATGCAAAGTGAATTTAGATTCCGTTTATTTTATAATTTTAAATTTGCCAGATGTTAAAAGAATAACCTAAGGGCTGGTTTTTAACCTACCTTTGGGTTTAATTTTCTTGTTTTATTTGTTACTGCGCCAGGCGGTGATGTAGCTGTAAATGTAAATGGAGGGAAGAGAAGCGAAATTAATTTTAAAATTGTCTGCGACAAGTGTATTTGCAATAAGTTACAGTCTAAGCAGTTAATCTTTGCAAAAATAGTATGACGATATTCGTTTGAGGTTATGCAAATATTCGGCATATTGATAAATAATACATTGGATTGACAATACGATGAACGACTCGTAATAGTTCTATTGAAAAAGAAAAAATTTATCTTCTTATAATCTCTTTGGATACAAGAGCTTTCACTTGCGCACTTTAATTAAAACCATGTGCTTTCATTTCACATAACCTCACTTTTTTTAATTTTAATAACCAATGTCCGAACCTAATCTCTTCCTGTTTAATCTTCTTAGTACACAATTTCCTGCAGCAAACATTTTTATTTTAATAAATTTTAAATTTTAATTTTTTTCATTAAATCAAATGAACTACTTTTTAGAATATTAAAAAACGTATATTAAATTAAACAAATTAAAATAACAAAAACATAAAAAAGAATTCTAACGAGAAGTCGGTAATTCCAAAACCTGTTTAACACTCAAGCTCGAATTAATTTATTAAAACGCAATTCGCGTAAGCAAATGGCGAATTGAATATAACAAAAGGCAAAGTATGCATGTATGTACGTGTATGTAGAAACATAAAAACAAGAAAAGGTGAAATGACAATCAATTTATAAGCCGTTGTCAACATTCTGCCAGCTGCCAGGCCGGCCAACAACAAAAATGTATATTTCTGAAAATCTCACTCACCACTAGTAGTTGATGCTTCTGCCGCTACTGATCCGGGCTGAGCTGTTGCGGAGGAGCTCGACGCTGTTTCTGCTTCTGCGCTTCCTGCAGCTGCTGCTGCTGTTGTTGTTGTTTTTGTTGTTGTTGTGGATACTGCGTCCTCAACGGTTACTTTGTTGCTGCTTCCACTTGTACTATTCGCTTTAGTATTATTATCACCGCGACCAACTGGATGGGTGGTATGTGACTGAGCAGCACTACTCTCTAAATTATCGGCAACTTTTGGCGTTTGCTTTTGTTGTTGTTGATGTTTAGGTTGCAAAACACGTTTGTCTAGTGTGGTTGTTTTGGGGCTTGAAGATTGTTTTGATATCTGGAAGAAACAGGATAAATATGTTGATAAAAAAGATTTTAGACTTTTATTTTTCGTCAATTTTATGCTAAACATTTTCCTTTTTTTATAGATAAAAAAAAAGTACAAAAGATTTAGTTATATTTTCATAAATACGTTGAGAAAAAGAAAATAAAAATAATTAGAATAACAACAAACCTGCCATAAGGTTTTGAAAAATCTCTCTTGGCATGTTCTTTTTGTGTGCTTTAAAACAGAGTTGTTGGGAATGTATTGAAAATAAGTTAAAAAAAAAGTATTGAATGCAAATCTTCAATATAATTGAAATTCAATTGAATAGGCAATTAGGTTTGAGAGTTGAGTTGATGGTACCCAAAGCTTTATTGTTTTTACACAACCATTACCCAAGCGAAAAGTTCATTTTTAATTGATTTCAATTACAATTTTTTATTGCGTTAATTTGCATTATTGATGTACACTCAGTTTTATGTTTTATTGCTGGTTTGTTCGTTCGCCGTTTTGATTTATTTATATAATTTTTACATTTTATATCAAAGTGCATTCCTTTACACGTATATTATTTCATCAATAGCCTTGCATCGTTATTATTTTTATTCATTTTTGCATTATTAGTCTAGTATTTTGAAAATTTTATTTCGCTTTAGTGCTTTTTTAACAGTTCTTTTTACAATTTTTATTGTATTCAGCTAAAACTTTTATTTTTTTTTTTTTGTATATTTAAATTTTTAAAATTTCTTTTAATTCTTATCTTTTAGATATATATATATATATATAGTTTTGTTATATTACAATATATATTATTTATTATATTACTTTTAATATATTTCACATATTTTTATTATTTTATTTATAATATCATTAAAAAATATATTACATATTTTTTTTTTATTTTTTATCGTTTATTTTTTAAATTTAATTTTTTTTAACGTTATATTTTATTTTTACCATTTTACATTTTATTTTTAGCATTTTATATTTTATTTTTAATTCTTTGCATTTTATTTTTAATTGTTTAAAAAGTATTTCCGTATTTGTTATGCTCTTTATATACGAGTAAAAAAAAACTTTTATTTTTAAATTTCGATTTGTATTTCAATTTATTTTTCGACTTTATGAGCAATGTCGTTCGTCGTTCAGATTTTAATTAAAATTCAAGATACTGACAGCCTCCGGGATAAATTAATTGCAATAAAAATACAATATATGTATATGTAAATATTAATAAATATTAGCTTTAAATGATGTGGAAAAGATAATTTACCCATAATTTAATTACGTGACATTTGTAACGTCGTCACTTCTTCCCCAAAAAAAAAAAAAAAAAAAAAAAAAAAAAAAAAAAAAAAAAAAAAAAAAAAAAAAAAAAAAAAAAAAAGAGCAAATACCGTACCAGTATCTGACTCTCAACGATGTTATTAATGAGAGAAAAGTATACACAATCTCACAAGTTCAAAAGCACATTTAATGAAACGCACATTTTCGATTGTGTACCCCCCTTGGACTAAATGATATAGACTTGAGCCTACGCCCTGTGAAACCACAGCAATTTTATAGCAACATGGAGGGCATTCATTATGTTTTTAACTCTCCAATGAACAGAAATTTTAAAGTGGCGTTTCTCTTTCCTCGACTACTTTGACGCAGCCAAAACCATGTTAAGATATACATACGTGTGTGTATAAATATACAGCGCATTGCGTATACCAAAAAATTAAAGAGCGGCGAAATTAAATACCAAAGAGATTTTGGGAGCTGTTAGCTGACATAACCTAAATATTAAAGAAATACTAAGCAATATGAAAACATATGTATATATGAATTTATGTACACAGGTAGAAATGTACATACATATGTATATATGTATGTGCTGTATTTACAAAATTTTCTATTGGAAAAGTACTGGCTTGACCGGGTTTGGTATATGGACGCAATCAACATCACTTATACTATTTATTTATGTATAGTATGTATATTATGTACGAAGTTACAAGAATACGCGATACGAAGGAGCTTCGATTTGCCGCATTAACGTAGAATTTGAATAGGAGCACATGATGATAAAGCAAATGTAAAAAGACAAATAAAGAATACGTAAAAAATATGGAAGGTGGTACACCACATGGACTTTTGCGAAAAAAATTTAATAAGTTTCCATAATAAATAATATATGAAATTAAAAAAAATTAACAAAATTTAAATAAGTAATTTAATGACATTAAAAATATTTAAAAAAATTAAAACAAAAAAATTAATTATAAAACTAAATTAAGTTAGAAGAATTGATTAAAGAATTGAAAAAATTAAAGGAAATTATTAAAATTAAAAAATGAGATTAATAAATTTAACTAAACAATCAAATTAAATAAAAAATAAAATCAAACGAAATATTATATAATGTAATAAATCTCAATAAAATAGAATAAAAACTAAATATTGAAAACTGAAGAATAAAATTAACTACCATCCATCCAGACATTTTCCAACAACTGATATTGTTATTAACCACAGCAGAAATATAAATACAAATTTGCAAGTAATGAAATGAAAAATGGCCTTCAATCGGTGCAAAGTTTTGTGCCTTTTTAGTTAAAATTGGTAACAATTGCTCCTACTGCCCATCAGTTCACCAAACAGAACTATTGCTATTCGTAAGTAATAGGATACATATATGTATATGTATATGGAAATAAGCATCTGTGCAGAATGAAAATTACCTCCTCTAAATGCCACTACCACTCTGCTTTAAACTCGTTCTTTTGACTTATTGATTTATGCAAAGTCGCATTAAATTTGCTGGGTACGAAAGTTCTTATTTTGCACGTCTTTCGGTTAAAAACAGAAATACACACTTTTAAACGAGTATTTTTAGTTTTAATAAATGTTTGTTCAATTTCTTATTGCGCTTTTGAAGAAACAATAAGCGCTTAGCAAAAAATACCACTTTAAGTTTCAATATTTTTTATTCTTTTTTATTTTTTGTTTGCTGCTTGTAGTTACTAGTAGCGCTATTTACTACTTTTTTCACACACTTTGCTTTGGGAAAACTTAATCAGTTTATATGAATTAAGTACATTTATGGCTTCACTCGGTGTGGTTCAAATAATGGCTCACAAATATGAACAATTATTATTAATATTTTTTTTTCACTTTCAATAAATTTTCATACAAAGTATATAGGTATGTAAATATGTATGAGTTAACGTTTGCACTTTTTTTTAAATAATTTTAGCGTTTTGGTTTTTTAGTTTCTCCAGCGAGACACGTCTGACTTGTTCAGTGGTTGAAAAAGTTCTGAATTTCATCGAGTCAACCGATTGCTGAAAACAACTTCGCCAAGCGGCGTCTACGTGCGCCACGAAGCGATAGCCCGAAGAGATGGCGTGTTGGGAAAAATATGTATGTGTGTATGTATGTCGGCTATAAAAACAATTTTATATACAATACATGTGTGCATACCAATAATGATATTTATACATAAAATATACGGTGACCAAAGAGTTGGCTTTCTGCCCTGGCTGTATTATGAGTGTGTAACTCTGTGTGTTTGCTGGACTGGATCTGATGCATGCTAACAGTGCATGCGCAGGGCCACAATAACTTTACTTTATTTTTGTTAAAATTTTGTTTTGCTCTCGATATACTATATCACACACATACTGATAAACTGCAGCCAAAATGGGGAATACAAAGCAAAAGCCACGTAGTATTGTAGAGGGGAGAACGGTTGTAGAATATTAATGCAAATTCTTGCTGAATTCTTTTGTACACCAGAAAACGATTATTCATTTGTACTGGGAGGGATTGATGACTATTGCAAATCCCTGTTGGGTTCTTTGTTATTTGTTCCAAGGACGGTGAACTTGAATAATATTACTTAATACTTTTTAATTATTACATATGCTTAGAACAATTCCTTTGTATGAGCATATATCGGGACGAGAGTGAAGAAACAAATAGTTTTCAAAACGAAAACCTCATAAATCAGTAAAGTTTTCCAGCTTATTTTTACTGAACATTAAATTTAAAATTAAATTAAAATAAATCAAAAAAATTAATTCTACTAATCCCTGTTAGCTCCTCAGTTATTTGTTCAAGGAATGGTGAACTTGAAAGATATAATTTAATATTTTTTATACATATATACATACAAATATGATTGGAATAATTACTTTGTGTGCGAGAATCCCGTATAGGGAAGAGAGTGCAGAAATTAATGAGGATTTCCAAAGGAAAGCTTTACGAGTAAAGAACTCGAAGTTTTCCAGCGAATTTTTAATATGCAATATTTCAAACAAAGTCCTTAAATACATGAATTTTCTATTTCTAGGCTATAATAGCTCTCGAAAATTCCAGAAGAGATTCTTTCAAAAATAAGAGTTCATAAAAAACGTGGAAATCTCAGCAAAGTTCCAGAACAACAAAGTTTCTAAATCAACTCCAACAAAAACTCAACAATTTTCTCACAATTTGCTCCAAAATATGTATAAATATACGCTACAAATACAACAACCGTGAGCTCATCGAAAAACACGCCAGTCCACGCCAATGCAGATACATTGTGCGGCGCACTGGTCCGAGTGTAGAGTTTCGTGTACCGAATTAAAAGAGTTGTTTGTGCCACAATACCATAAAAAGAGCAGTGGAGACTCGGAGCGACAAAACTGGAAAACTTCAAAACAACACGCAATCATTCATTCATACCTGAATTCAAGTCGAACGACCTGGTGGTTGATTGCCTGACTTCACCACTTCGCTGATGAAGCAACAACCACCAATAAACACCCGGCGCGCGCATAACGAAACATAAGCCAAAAACAAACCATTATAAACAGAAAAACGAGACAAAAACAAGTAAGACGGAAAAAACAACAGTGGCCGAGCGGCTGGGGAAAGCGGATATACAACATTGAAACATTTGTTGTTTGCGTAAAACAACGCGAAACAGCAAAGCAAAACAATATAAGCAAAATGAAAATAGGTATATGTGGTATACATATGTG